CGATGCGTAGAGGCTGAGCACGCCGTCTGAGCCGTATGTGAATGGGAAAGCAATACATCCGTCGATTCCACTGGGAACTGAACTCAACCGAAGACTCGATTAGGATTGAATTTCAGCTCACAACTAAAACGTTATTGAAATTCATCAGCTTGATTGTTCGGAACAACATCAGACCATGTAAACACTAACAGATGGGTTAATTGTTACGGTGGCTTGTTAGCATTCCTTGAAATGGGAACGTCGCCGTTGGTTCTACCACACGTGGCCGTCTTTCTGAAACTCTTCGTGGTCGGCAAATTGACGTCAGACTTTTCTGGGAGAATACTAATATTAACGATACATAGACAGATTTCAGCATGTACTTATGTGGGCCTGATATGCACGGAAAAACCTTTACCACATTACAAATGAAATCGAATGATTGTACATCCTTATGCGATCGACCAACTCTAAACGCTTTGTCCCCTAATATTTCTTTCGATAAACACTAGAACAGTATTTTAGCTCGACCATCACGATAATATTGGGTGGTCCTTTCCATAAACACAACATCAATTGTAGATCAATTGTATGCTATAGCACCGCTCTCCGAATTTCAGTCACAGAAAGGAGAACAATGAAAGGCAAAAGGGTTGGGAGCTGTCGTCTCAATTCAAAGAATAAAAAGAAAGCTGGGTGTAATATGAGTCAGTCTCAGATGTTTTTCTTCGTGAATCGAAAGATTCGCTGCTCGATCATTCATACGAAACCCGACTCCGTACGCAAATCAACAACATTTACTCAAGGGTGGATAAAAGATCAACTAACGGACTATTTCCCGTCGGCGGATTTGCATAAGAAGTTATGGGCAACCTTTAGTGCTTAGGACATCGATTTGTCTACTGCGAATTCTATTCGTGGCAGTACCAGAAGTTTTATTTAAGAAAGAAAATGTACCGAGTACTAGTATTTGAGATCCAAAATAGTCGTTTCTAGTACACACTAAGCTGCCGGTCAAACGGTGTGCGGCCAGTACAGTCGAAATTTTGAGAATATACTGTATACGGCACATAGGATACATATTACACGATATAAGGAATTTCATTTTAGAAAGAACACTTTTAAAATTGTTCACAAAGTCAAATTCTATGTACACAGACATTTATTGATTGGCAAAAAATATATAGATCGCAGCTTTTGTACATTCAGGAGATTCCACAGTTACTGAAATACGTATGATACGTATGTTACTGCACCCTGTTCATCTACTCAGCATAAGCCGTGATAAGAGAAATTATTAATAAGTGAATTGGCGCTCTATCCAAAGAGATGTAGACGCACGTCCGCTGTAGCTGTAGAGATTTTCAAATGTAAGCCCTTTTACGACGACAGATTTCACAGAGATATAGCTGGCTAGTCTCTCGCCATTAAAGAGAAACTAATTAGAAAGACAGCAACTCAATAATGTTGAGTGGTGTGCAAAAACATTATTGGGTTTACTGTAAGATCATACCACCCCAAGTGGCGGTCATATGAATGAATTCCGAAAGACAGGAACCCTTTACGAGAAGTAAATGCAATGATATATGTCTTGTTGGGCAACTCAGGCACAACATGAGGATGAATAGAAAATAATTTGTTTCCTCGCGAGTCACCCGATGGCTTGCAGGTTGGCGTCGAATTCAAGACTATCAAATACAATTCATCATTGAAAATCACAAAATATTCTAACGTTATGATGCATGCTAAGCTATAGAAAAGCAAATATCTAATGAAAATTTCATTGAGCGGTGAGAAATCAATTTTTTCCATCTAAAATTGTGGTGGTATTTGTCTATATCTTATGAAAAAGAGCCTTGGCGTGTAAATTATATCAAACTTTTGAGGTTGGTTACGATACTTTACTGATATCAACTACACAAAACTCAACTTGTTATTTATGCAAATTATATCCGAATTATACTTCATATCTATATACCGTAGGAATATGAATAGAGATTATGAATCAGTGAATGGGGATATTATTTTTGATATGGTACCATGAATAAAACTTTCCAGATGAATTATATGAAAAAAAGGAAAAAAAGGAAGAGGAAAACAATAGTGAGGGAGATAGGGCAAAAAGAGTGACAAAGAAAGGAAAGAACCCGCTCATCATCGCTGTCTATGAGGGTAATCAGTGAATATTCTCCAGATAGTAACTACGTGGGACTTCATTTTAATGAAATCGGAATCTTTTCCTTTTCATACAATGGTGGCTTTCATCCCTATAATTTAAGCTAAATAGTGGCGAGGGGTAATGACTGAAGCTCTCTATAAACTATTAGAATGGTCAAGTGTTCGATAACTTAATAAAGCGTCCGTTGGCTAGTTACTAAGCTTCCATGCAAATGAAGGATTTCGCTGCTCGATCGAAATCTATGGATTCACTTATAGTCGCTCTGCTCTCACCGCCCATCAGCTGATCTTTTGGTGTAACTTAGCAGAAAAATTTGACAAATGGGCAAAGCCTGAATTATATGGGGCCGATCTCCCACTTATGGACACGTTTGTATAGTGACTTGCGAGAGCATTTCCATGTATCAAGTCAGTGAATTCCATCCTGCCAAATAAACTGAACATTCGTTTTATGTCGCAAATGTATGAAAGGCTTTGTCAGATCACTCGCAATAGGGTCACATTATTACGGTTAGTCTAGTAAAATAGGAGCAATTTCTTATCGGCTAAGGACTTTTTAGATTTTCAGAGATACAAAATAAGCGTTTGATAACTAGGTAACTTGAGGAGGTCGCATGGAGAGGTTGTTAAAAATACTGTGCTGTCAAAAACTTTATGGCTTCTGTTGAGTATGCGATGTCTTTGTTTTGGCACCTTCCATCAATAGACTTATTGATTAGGGTGAAAATAAAAGCTAATTGCTGTACAACTGTACAAATAGATGGTCGGTGACCTGTAAAAAAAATTCTGCAAATCATCAAATGTAGAGCATGGTTTTTCTGGTGACATCCTTTCTATTTTGATCCGATGTCGACTATCTATCGAATGTACCTATGTTATGTTTCATACTGGTTGAATAAAAGAATTCTGAAACCCAATAAAGTGAAATCACAGTGAATGGGTTAACCCAGTGTTTAGAGCCGAACCAATGACCATGTGCGTATCGCTCGACACTTATGACTGCGGGGCGACACGTCTTGAACTACTCTATATCAGTCGATTATCACAAATTACGGTCATTTTTTAGTGTACCTCTGAAATTTTGAAATAGTCTCACTGTTACTAACTGATCAAAAGAGTTAGTTAATGTTAACATTGCGTTTTTCAAGGTTGCATACTCTTGTACTACCCTCAAGCCTTTCATGAGAACTCAACTGCTTTACTTAGAGACAAAATAATCAATGTAAATTCACTTGTTTCACATGAAGGACATACTCAACAAAACGACTCGATCGGAAACTCCGTTGAAGAGCCACTTAAGTAGCTTGACGCGATACTTTGAGGAGCTTTCATTGGATGAAAACACACGAAATATTCATGAAAATTAAAAATTTGCAATTTGCTAGAAATCATTTGATGGAATAGTGATCATATAACGCTATTCAGCATTTTATCCATATTTTAAAAATATTATAACTTAATTCTACTTTAATTACACCTCTGCTTGTTACGTTAATGTCTTGATATTGTTTTATCATTAGTTTGTAATAAGTAAAAGTCAGACTTAGAATGTTTTACTGCGAAAATATGAAAATGAAAAGTGCACACTTAATGGAAAAATCAAATTAACACTTTTACTTTGAAATCTGCAAATGAATTTCAAGGCGTCACTCTATAGGCGTCCCGGTAATTTTAATGATAGAACTCGAATGAACTCGAGGATTCGCCATTTTTTAAGTGGACTTCTTTGATCCAGTATTTTTCACATAACAGAGGAGAATGCTAAGTGATATGGAAAATGTGAAGTCTTAGTATCGAATTGAACCCGCTCCTGGCATAATTGGAAACGTCGGTTAGCTCTCGCCTGAGATTTTATACTATGCATAGAACTCAGCATTAAGGGTATAGGTACTTTTTTATTATCGAGCAGGATTTTTCGAAGAAAAATTTCCTGTGGTAGGGGAACTTTTTATTGGATTCTCAGCAAACATTCAAATGTATTGGCTTTGCAAAACAAAAGATAATCCATCTTCAGAGAGACCTTCTACACTTCTGTAGCATTAGAAGTAAAGTTATATTTCAGTCGCGTCGCGTACGCTTATAATTCACAGGATCGAGTTTTTTGCTTCGAAACATAAAAAAAAACATTTAATAGCAGTGATCTGGAAAACTTCAAAGTGCATTTATTTCTCAGAAAGGTCCTTTACAGCGCTGTAGCAGAGAACTTGGATTTGTGCTTTCACGCAGCGTATTCGCAGGACAAAGCTCTTTATCTTGACTATTAGTGACCATTAGGTAACGTAAGTTTCAGCGATTGCAAAACTGTGCTTCTATTCTGAAATGCCGTTTTCTGCAGTGTAGTAAGGAAAACTAGAATGAGCTTCAAACACGCTGCACCTTGCTTGTCGGGGAGAGTGTGTGAGTGGATGTGGATTGATAACGCTATCGAACGATCGTGCAGCGCAATTCCATATGGTATGTGATTTTTTGCTATTCAGTTTGTGGTTCTTCACCGCTTAGGGAAAAATCGGGACAAAACACGGGATTCTGTCACTTCACAATTTTTCAATTTGTTTTTGCCCGTAGGCTTAGGCTGCTTAGGCCTAGGCAGTAGGCCTAAACGTAGTAGCGGCCCAAGCTCATAGAATGAGAGAACGAACTTCCTTCTACAATTGTAACACAAAAAACCTGGAAAGCTATCTGATACGAAGGGATTTCTAACTGAATAGCGAAAATGCGCTCGATAACGCACGGCACGTGTAAAACACAATTTGTTCTGCCAGAATTTTTTTTATTTTACCGCCACTTGCGGTGGTATGATTTTGCAATATATCCAATAATGTGGAGTGCTGTGCAAAAGCATTAGCCTCAGCCGGAATTCGAACACAGATCTCACTCTTTTTAGGAACGTATGCTAACCGTTGCACCACCGACGCTCGTTTTGCACAACACTCTTTCTACGCTATAACGCGTTGTCTGTCAACAGGCTGAATCTTCGAATCCCGGCTGACGCAAATGTTTGTGCACAGCGCTCCACATTATAAGGCACACTGTAACATCATATCACCGCAAGTGGCGGTCAGATATAAAGAATTCTGACTGAATATTGATACCCAATATCTGTCAACATAAGTGGGTTCAATGCCGATAGCGGCTGCCTGCGAGACCGTCGACAGATTGGCTGTTGACAGACAACGCGTTATAGCGTAAAAAGAGTGCTGTGCAAAACGAGCGTCGGTGGAGCAACGGTTAGCATGCGCCTCCGGAAAGAGTGAGATCTGGATTCAAATCCCGGCTAACGTAAATGTTTGCATAGTACTCCACATTATTGTGTATATAATTTATTTTCTTTGTCACAACGCTGTTAGAAGGCCTTTCTGAAACACAAGTGCACTTTTAAATATTAGATATTTGAGCTATCCAATGATCACTAATTTTCAAGTAAAGAGCTCTGTCTTACGGAAAATTCGCGCGGTAACGCGCAACCACGTGTATAAGCCTACTTTACTCTCCCTGCTAGAGCACTGTTAAAAAGTCTTCCTGAAAAAATAAGTGCATTTTTGAATTTGTCAAGGTTTAAGCTTTTGAATGATTATCAAAATCTAATGGAAACGAAAGAGATTTCTTCGAAAATTCCTGCTCGATAACATAAATCACCTAATTATGATATTATAGCTTTACTATTTCATCTAGCCTGTGAGAATGTCTACATCCTATTCGAGGTTGTTACATCAAAGTCTTACGTGCGTTTCAGCGGTATCAGCGGCATCATCAGAGCCACACATTATTTATTATCTGATTTATAGGAAATTAATAAACATAATTGCATTATATAATAGTATTATAATGTTGATGATATGAGTTATACCCAATTTACTTATAACTATGACTCATAACACTGATAGAAAGCCGTAAAGTAAAGATTCCTATATAGCAATTTCTTCACGTATGCCACATAAACTTCTAGCTGTCCACAACCTCAAAAAAAGTAGAGGAGAATCTAATTCCAGTCCGTTAAATACAATTTAGCCAGTCGTATGAATGGATTGTGCGACGAGACGTCATAAGAATAAGAGATACGAACGATAATGTAGGATTACTCCGATCACGAAGCAGCTTCACAAGCATTGTTACGGCAACACGCAGGCATTTCAATACATAGAAACGCATACACATTAATACATACGTACGCACATATGTACTCAGACATCGAATTTGGTTAGTAATCATAGGGAGTGAAGTGAGAATGAGAATATATGGATGGTGTTTAACTACTGTACAGTATTACTTGTAGATCCTTCAAAAGCAGTCACAACCTAAGCAGGTACAAAACGATGATTAGTTCGAGGTCACTGCTGAAGTGAAGAAAATTTCAATCTGGATGACGTAAGGATTTCTTAGGCAATGGTAATGACAGAAACAGATAAAGAATTCTTCTGGGATCGATTGCAGGTAAACAAACTCTAATGAGGATTCAACGGCCGCAGCGGAATAGCCGATGAATTTGACGATAATTATTCGTGTTATTCGAAGAAATAGATTCAAACGAAAAACTAGAGTGCAAAATATGTGAGACCGATCAATTTCTTAGACGAACGTCAAGCAATCGGCACCAATGAGCATTGAAGAGGATAATAAATGCATAATTGACATTTTAAGTGACATACATGGGCCCTTCGCTATATAAGGTCAGTGTTTCTATGTTTCCCAACAAGTTTGGGTCCTTTACTTTCGACTACTTGTTTAGACTTCGCTCAAAGACAATCATACTGTGAAGATCTGACAACATGTTTTGAGCCTTTCCTTAAGGTCTGGTATGGCACCTATACAGTTCTAAACAGCTGCTTCGCCTTTCCAGAATCATCAGTAGTACGGTGTCTTACGGTCCAGCCTTTATCCTTTGCAGGTGGATCAACCCCCTATTATGGAGGAATCGACGGCGAATTTTTTCAAATCAGCGAATGCCGAGTGGCAAAATTCCTCGACATTCGACAGGCGAAACGACTGTCTAGTACTATGTACTGCCATACCAGACTTCAAGAAAGACTTCAAAGCATGTTATCAGATTACAAATCTTTCAACCAAATTTCCTTATCCTGGATTTCAATCAGCTCCAGATCTGAAGGGTAGAAATCGAACTACTGACTATGTTATACCGTTCAGGTGCTTCACCTTTGCCAACTTGTAAGACGTTTCAGAATGAAAAAATTGAAGAGAAAAGAAGTTGCCACCTTCAAACGATTACATTTCTGCTGAATTTTGTTGTGATTGTAGTAAAAGCTGGGTTGGAGTATATCGAAAGTGCAAGTAGTGAGAGTAATAAGAAAGCTCAGCAACACTGAAACAAGAACTTTTTTCTTTGTTTCTACTGACGTCTATTCATTATCGAACTCCATGGAACGGCTCATAAATTTGGCAATTTCAATCATCAAGTAGCTCAAAAGTATGTGTGCATCACAGTAGATTCCAGATTAGCTATGGCGCATAAGGCGGTTTCTAATGAATGAAATAAACTAAGAATTGAGAGGGACGAGCGACCTGATGTTAGAGGTCTATATAGCGATGAGAGTCCACTGGGCAACTCTTGGACGGGACAAGGAAGATGGAAGGTTTCCAGGCACCCGCACGATACATTTGACAGTATACGGGAAAGCAAGAGGAAAGTGAAAACTGAGATCTAAATAAGTTTCGGAGCTCCTGTATAGTAGATTTCATATAAAAACTGGAACAAAAAACGCATTCTCATAGTACGAATGAGAGTTGCAGGGATAGATTCATCAAAATGATGACCACAGTAGGCATTCTTCCAACAATGTGCCGGCTCATCACACAAAGATACTCCTCAAGTGACTTTGCTATTTTCCGGAAAATTTTTCAAAAGTTTCTTTCTAATCCTGAGACTTGCATTGCTGGATCACACTAAGTCTGGACAAAATGCGATAGCACTCAAATCTTTGAATGGCCCATTATTTGATAATTATCACATCAAGTTGTAATATCAGATTTGATGGTGACAAAATAACAGAAGCTATTGCACTAGCGTGGAAAAGTCAGATGAGAAGATGATAGAGATCTTCGGGAAATATGGTGACTGGATAGCTCACAAACGAAAAGGAATGTTAACTTTTCTTACCGTCCATTCATAGCGAGGCTGTCACTTCCTTGAAAAGCGTAACCTCCTTTTACGGCAATGCGTTCCGATTGTGAACAATTGAATCGCCCATCAAATTTTTCCCATCAATGTGACCTTTTCTGATCAGTAGCTTTTTTTCCAGGGAGACAGAGGATTCCCCAAAAAAAAACTACTCCAAGACTAAACTTCGAAGATCCTGTTCTTCGCTCCTTAACTTACTAAAAGATTACAATATTTTTGTACACCGAATTATTGATTCAGTAATTACTATCCCGTTGTAACTTTGGTTTTTAGAATCCTTGAAGGAAAAGAATTTTGGACCGGGAAAAAATAATTTTAGAGTGCAGAAATTTTACCCATTCGTTCGCCGCATGCATCGAAATCTGTGCTCATAGTCGTCAAAGCCCTGAGGAGCTGTAGACACTATAATGTCCATATAAGTAGGAAACAAATCAAAGATTTATGTAACAAATTCAGGAAATCGTGTGAGAACTCTCATTACGTCATACACCCAGGTCGCAAGCGCTTCTTCAAATTCATTCGGATTTTGAAGCCTTGGAAAAACGTAGTTTGGAATTTGAATGGATTCTATCGTTCTTGGCGATTTGATGATGATGGTATGTTGGTCGCGAAACTCGTATTACGACCTTGTCTTCTTTTCAATATCGCAAATCTTTCAGAGAAAAAAAGTGGTAGTTATATTTTAGTACTGAGGAGTGCAATAATGTGAGCTACAAATAAAAAAATTTTGACCAGTAATCACAAATTGCCATCATTATTTACTTCCAGAAATTATGAGAAAATGAAATCAAAAGAATTTGAATGAAGTGATAAACTTAGCTTATCGTAAGAAATTACTGAGGGTTTCATGCGGGCTCACTATGGCAATTTTTAGCCTTCTTGGGAAGGAACGAACTATACATTGTCAACTAAAAACGTAGCTGTGATAGATAAATTACGAGTGAAATGGCATGATGAACAAAGGGGAAGATACTGTGGAATTAACGAATGTCTCTATGATTGCTCAACTACAACCAGCAATAAAAGGATAAGCTCTCGGCGTTGATCAATCCTTGAGGTTTGCGCCATGTGTTCGGCTTCAATATTTAGTTAGTATGAGGAGATCGAATGCATATGTGGGCTTGACATTGATTCGCGGTGACCTGCCTAAGTATCAAGTGTCAATGCTGCTTTCCTCCCGGACAACTATGGTATCAACTTGTCGACTCCGGAGGAATGAAAGCGTCAATGAGCGTTGAGAGCGGGATGGAACCATCAACCACGTGTACGACGCATACTGTCTCTAACCACTGCGCTACACGCGTTCCATTTAGCCGGAGAACTCTTTTTTTAGCAGCATAAAAAATGTTTGCTCGAAGGAACAAAAACAGGAGCAAAAAAGCTAATGATCTCCCAGGAGTGATCCGGTTTTTTCTATCAGAAAGTGATCATGGCTCCAACCCTCTGCAATGTCGTTTAAGCTAAGAAATGAATGAAGAATTGATTATTAGGGACGAGTTTTCTTCGAGCGTCAAAAATAATCTACATAGCTGTGGTTAGCAACGAATAAGATTTGCAAAACAATGTCGCTTCAAGACATTCATGTTATTATCCGCTTCAAGCAAATTGAAAACATTCACTCATTTCATCAACAAGATAACCAATAATTTAGTGAGCCGACTTTCCTTCAAACACGGCAATGCCAATCAGTTGTATCTCCTTTGGTTATTAAACTCGGCAGTAGCACGATGTTGGTAATAAAAATCTTATTCGGCTAACGTTACGACGTGTTTGCCTTTCTTT